CTCGGCAACCTCTCCTCTCCCATCCCGCACATGCGATACTGCCAGGTCAGCTTCCTCGCGTCTCTTCCCGACCATAAGGATTCGATCCCCAATTCTGCCCTCACGGCTGCATTACTTGTGCGCGTGGAGCATCCTAGGATGATTTTCGCTGCTTTCATCTGCGCCGCCTCGAGTTCTTTCACTACCTTCTTATTTCCTTCCCATACTTCTCCGGCGTACTCTAGCGGCGGTACGATTACGCTCTTCAAAACCGTCAATTTGATGCGTGTATCGAGGTGCCGGTTTGCGAGTATTGGATGCAGCTTCCCTGCTCGTGATTTGCCCTTTTCCGCTACCTTGGACATGTGTGCATTCCACGAGCAGTCTTTTGCGATCTCTACTCCAAGGTATGTGTACTGGTCCACTACTGCAATCTCCTCGATCCCCCACTTCCATCTATGTTCTACTGGTTCCTCCTTGTTCTCGTTGCATACCATGACGGCACTCTTCTGAACGTTGGCAGACAATCTCCACTTATCAGTAAACTTCTTCGCCGCGTCAATTCGCAGTTGCAGTCACTCAGGGGTGTCCGACATTCCGACAAAATCATCCGCAAACGGCATTCCCGAAACCGACGTTTCCGTGTCCCCTACTTTTACTCCCTTCCGGACTGCCTCTACGACTTCCAACAGATCGTTGATGAACACCTGGAACAATGTTGGGGACAGCGTGCAACCTTGTGGGACCCCCTGCTCAATGTCGAAGAATTTTGACAGTTCTCCGTCTAGCATGACCGCGCTTTTCGTGCACTCTGTCATCTTCTTCAGCACTCTCCACATTTTCCCCTTGATCCCGTATTTGGACAGTTGTTTCCACAACCCATTTCTCCATACGGTGTCGTATGCCTTTTTCACGTCCAGGAAGAAGCAGTACGTCGGCTTTCCCGCCCTCTTTCTATCTTGGATGATTCTCCCTACCGTGAACACGTGGTCTACGCACCCCCTCTTATTTCGGAAACCTGCCTGGCCCTCACTAATGCTATGTTCCTTCTCCAATACTCCCACTATCTGATCGTTCAGCAGGTTACAGAACACTTTTCCCACGGTGTCAAACAATGTGATCCCCCTGTAGGGTCGGATGGGGGATGAGGGTAAACTAACGATGGAGACGGGGTAGGTCTTCGTCTCCGAGCGAGAAAAGCGATGGGCCTGATGACTACGATGGCTACAAAGGCTTGGCGGCCACCTAAACCGTGTTGACAAGGTATGTCATGTGTCTTGTCCTTTCCAAAAAGCGTGCCTCTCTTTCTGCCTTGCTCGCTGCCTTTGATGATGTTGGATGCTTGCGTGTTTCCTGTCGTGCATCCGTTATGCCCGTGGCTCCCTATAATGCACACCATTCCTCGCCCCTTGTCCCTGTCCGTCGGCGACGCGTGATGTTTGAATGTACCTCGCCTCCCTTCAATTTTGTTCTGCGGGTGTGCGTAGCTTATCCTCGTCTCTGGCGTATTTTACGACCTGCGGGCATTTTGTCGGTTGTGCCNGGGACAGCATGCTCTCCATTCCTCGACGGCCCACTATTACCCTCCTCTCACACTTTAATATTATTTCGCTGCTGATCGGTAACCTCCAGGTTGAGTCACTGGGACCTCCGCCGCAACATCGTTCAAAGCGTTTTCTCGGGTCCTCATGGCGTTCACAACGGGTCGAAACTTTGACGGAGGAGGCGGAGAAATATCCTACTCGCCATGCCTCACAGTTTTCTTTTTTTATCATATGGTGCTATGATATGCTTGTTGCTCTCGCTGGTTCATGAGGGCGCCTGGCGCGGCATGAGAGCCACCATATACTGTGTTGTGTGTGCCAGGGCGTTTGGAATCTATCGCTTCTGCCTCTTGGCTTCGTCCGCGCCGTTTTTTGTCCGTGCGAATTGTGGCTTTTGGGGGGGAGGGGAGGGGGGAGTTGTTTCGATGGTGTCAGGAAGGTAGAGAGGTCTTTTTCTGCAGTCTGCATTGTTTTTGGAGGACATCGCTATCGCAGCTGGCTCCGTTTCAGGCAGTGACGTTTTTTCTTGACTAGAGTTCGTTGTAGGATTTGGGGCGGCCAGGGTGGGGGGGGGTTCTTTGTTTCGTGTCGGAACAGACGGTCGTTTCTACCAGTGCGTTTGGACGACAACACTGCTACGTGTAGCTCTTGCTTCCGGCTGAGTTGTTTTTCCTCACAACAAACAAACGTAGTTTACTGCGGGGATTGTGGGTCGTCTCCATGATCGACGTCGCTGACGATCATGGGCGAGGGCATGCTGCTGTGGGGGACATTCAATACACAACACGACGTTCGGACGGGTATGTATGTATTGTTTCAATTTGAAGTACCTTTGGTGCTTCTCGCTCACATGTTATCGTGCAACTTGTGATGTTGAACCTGTGGGGTAAAGACGATGAGCCGCGGGCGGAGATGGGTTTAAGCTAGAGCTAGTGGCAATGTGTATGAGGCATGGGCACGGGATGTCGTTTCAGAGGTTTGCTCGGGAATGTACCGACGGTAGAGTTGTAATGATCCGAACACGGGGCGAAAAAACAAATGAAACATGAAAAAAAACGTAGTGCAGGGGAATTGAACCCGCCACTACAGCAGTTGTGTGAGCAGCATGTTAGTATGTTGTAGACCGGCCGCATCGTGCGCAATCTCTGAGAGAGGGTGCCCATTGCAACACCGTCGGCAACCTGCCGCATTACCGGCTTGTGCGCAACGCGTCAACCTGCAAAAAAGGGCACACCTTGCACTATTACAGGCAACCTGCCTCCCAACCGGCTTGTGCGACGCGCGCCAACCTGCGAAAAAGGGTATACCTTGTTATACCATAGGCAACCTCTCCCTAACCGACTTGTGCATGGCGCGCCAACCTCCAGGAAAGGGTACACCTTACGCTGCCATTGGCAGCCTGCCCGCTGTCCAGCTTTTAAGCATGAGACCAACCACAAGAAATGGTAAACCTCAACCTTGCACCGCCATCGACAGCTTGACCCCCATCCGGCTTGGTGCTGTAGCAGCGCACCAACCACCAAAAAAGGGTACACCTTGCGCCGCCATCGGCAGTCCACCCCCTGTCCAGCTTGTTAGCAGTGCACCAACCACCAAGGAAGGGTACACCTTGCGCCGCCATCGGCAGTCCACCCCCTGTCCAGCTTGTTAGCAGTGCACCAACCACCAAGGAAGGGTACACCTTGCACTACCATCGGTAACCTGCCCCCTATCCGGCTTGTAAACAACGCGCAACCTGTAAGAAAGGTATAGTCTACCTTGCACAACCTGGCCATCGTTGCATTGGGAGGATTACCCGAGGTGGGGAGGTTGCAACTCGTGCCAAAATATATCCCGATTCAGGTTGCCAAAAGTGCCCCTACAACCCGGTCAGTGTGTTGGCCACCCGTGTACGCACTGCGGTGACCTACCCATGGTACAATGATGTAGGGTAAACAACAAATCACGCCGGTGAGCTAGAGTACACACAGGTAGAGCGACAACCAACGCTGGCTCGCTGATTTTCAGAGACACAAAAATTCCCGCAAGTACGAACGCGAGTCTGCTTATTTGAGTATATCTACAAAAGCACGTACGATGAAGTATGTTGGCGCCGGGGGCAGAAGCAAATTGACTGGGAAAGGGGCGAAAACCGGTGACAGGGTTACGAGATCTGCGCCGATCAATGAGCTGCGGCAGAACGGCGGGGGGACGGATGTTTAATTAATGCGTTACTTATTTCTGCAGTCCGGGCGCCCTGAACGCGGAAACCAGTACAATAGGGCCCCCCAACCGAACATTAAAAAAAAGGCCACCTAGTGATGAACCGTAACAAGCGGCGCGAAAAAGGATAAATTCGCGGGCACCACTCACGTTGTTTGTACTCCGTGGTAGCATAGATTACCGCACCCCACTCCCCGCGTCGACATCTATCCGACTCCCGGCCGGCCACCCCAATGTCGACGACCAAGCTGCTGATGGAGGTGGCTGCCGACGCTCGGTCTAAAGGGAACTTCCCCAAGGTCAGTTCTGAGATAGCGAACGTCACAGAAGTGCGTGCGTGCGGTAGGCGGCCGGCATTTTATTTTCAGCAAATCAGCACCGAAATTGCGCCGTCGCAAGGGCGAGTGGCTGTCAACGCGTCTCGAGATCTCGATGGCCCTTACCGTTCTTGCTCTCCGCACCGTGTCGAGCAGTAGGCCGTGCCGCGTGGTTCTCTGAAGCAACGTCTTGCCGCCATCTTTTCGGTACAACTCAACGGGATGTGTGTCGGCCGTTTATTTTCTGCTGGCTGACAGGTAGAGGCCACGAGGCAAAAAGCAGGTGGAAAAGAGCAAAAACAGGATCCAGCGGAGCATTTGTCACCCTTGTAGCGTAGTGCGGCGAGACATGGGGCGGTGCTGGGTGCTGGTCCCACGTTGTCGTTTCCATCTGTAGCGTCTGGCGTAGGGGTATATTTGACGCTGATCCAGCGAGCCATGTGGAACTGCGCTGGCGATCCACAGCCTAAAAAGCTGGCTCTCACCTCCTTCCATCGATGAACTTTTTTCAGCAGCTGGGGTTTTTCGCGGCGTGGTCGGGCCTTTGCCCTCATCTCCCATCCCCCGGATGGTGTATGACAAATGTTTTCCTTGTCCTCTTCGTCACGCTCCCCCTTGCCTTCATCTCTACCTACGGGCTCGTTCCTTGCACTACCGCGAATTCTCTGTCCCTGTCGGTGGCTGCTGCCGCTGCTGCGTCCCAACCCTTCATCCACATTTCATCCCGTTCCGCGGCTCTCATATTTTTTTGTTACACTGCATCTCTTCGGGGTTCGTATGTCCTGCTGTGTCGTTCGCCGTTGCGTGTGCCGCGGTTGACCTCGACGCCTGCCTGCCCTACCTACTATACGTCTTCAACGCGACAGGCGCAGGAGTATCTACTACGAGTTGTCAGGACTAATCCCAACAACAAGCAGGTAAGCTTCCCCGACTGACACCTGGCAAAGTTGAACGATGTGCATGTGAGATTCAATGCGACTTGGCTTTTGCCGCATTCCAACATTCCAACACATCTGAACCCTGACTGGCGGCCGTCCAGCCGCGGTGTTGTGAAATTGAAAATTTTCAAGTTGGAAGTTTAATGTCAGTTTTCTTGTTGCCGTCCCCTTGCTGTGTGATATGGGCAAAAAAGGGCTACACCTGCCTTGTATATTGCTCCAGTCATTTCGTGCGGTCGTCGATCAAAGAAGCACCACTACTTCTCCTCCTCGCACCATTTTTATCTCGCTGCAAGGAATCTTTTTTTCAAGAGTCGTCGCATCTTGTTGGGACGAAGGTTGAACAAAAACACTCCTTTGACAGAGCCGGAACTGTCTTCTATTTAGCTGTCTTCTATTAAGTGTTGAACCACAGAGAACGATCGCGCGGGTCCCGAACGCCAGCCACTCCTCTCTGACACGAAGTACTTCATATTTACGCTTGCTCCGGGCGTGGCACGATTGCCATGTCGACGGGGGACAGACAATAGGCAGCTTGTTGTCCTCCTTATTTACCCTCAATTTTCAAGGGCGCGTTACAAGCGCGCGTCCTGTTGCTTGCCCGCGCACCGATGTATATCGTTGGACAAGCTTTTTCGGGAGGGTATGCACAACCATTGGATGCGTTCTGCGTTTTCTTCGCCCTATTTGTTTTTTCGTGCGAGTTTGGGTTGTACAACAGCAGTAAAAGAAAGTTCACCGGCAGTACAAGCTTGGGCAGTATCGAAGCGCCAAGAAACTACTCGCCCCAAAGCGGAGCCTTCGGTTTATCGGTACTCAGGTACCTACACTTTTGCGTTTGACCCGCTACATAATGGTGCGCGCGAAAGCAAGAGCTTGGGCTATTGACTTGCACGCAGGTTCGTCCGCACCACACTGCCCCCCTGCCCTCGAGCGGTTTCTGGGTTGGATCCCGATGTGTATCGCGAGGGCCTGGCAGCAGCAAATGTAGGAAGCCAACGGCATGCCTTTTTGTGGAGGCTGCATGTATCCCTGGCGTTAATTTCATGCACGAAGTTGACAGCTTCCCTCACTGCTGGCACTACTACCACTCCTTCTCTATTGAAAACTACGATAGGTTAATGTGACCCGGACGTTAGAAGATGAGACGAGAATGAATCGCGAAGCCCGTGGGTGGTCGTGTAATAGTTGACATTGTTAGCTGTCGAGCACCGCCGCACGTGACCAATATTCGCTCAAACACAGATGTCAAAGGTGCACTCGTGGAAGAAGCCAACGACGTTTTCAAACACACCGATCGCTTCTTGAGCCCGACAAAGCGTATACCGCTTTAGCCGGCATTTTTTAGTTTTAGTTTTTGCGGTAACCGCGAGGGTGGCCTAGACGCTCATGTTATGTGGGGTCGACAACCTTCACTCCGCGATAAGGGGAGGACCGCACCACGCTGTGTAAAATTGGGCAAGCACCCTCGAGCAGTTTCCACAGTCCTTGTTGTGTTTGTCTCATAAAGGGTTAGCCCGAAAACAATAAAGCCATCCGCAGCTGTCACCCGTAGGCAAGGAAGTAAGCAGAACATGCCGAACACCCTGATCAGGTGGCAGGATGCAGCGCACCCTCCATGCGGCTCCTCTGGGGTTGGTGAAAAACCGGCCATCTTCCGTCCCGTCTTTGTAGGGATGCGAGGCCAACGGTCTAACGACGACGGCATGCTCGGCTATGAGTACCCCCCCCCTCCCCCCTGAAATTCGATGAATGGCATGGACGAAACGAAGTGAGACAAAGCCACGTGTCTGTTGTGGACTTGGTCGGGCCATAGGACATGAAAACACTGGACACCGTCAGGTGCAAAGGAAAACGCATGGTGCGATGTGTGAACGATGCGAGCTCAATGGCCACTTTGCCCGTTTGGAGCTGTCATGGTGGTCTCCTTATTATTGGAGCCATGTAAGACACCCCGTCATTTCCGAGCATAAAGGCACTGTGACCCCGCTGACCAACGTACAACGTATGCAGGCAAACATAGAACTGGGAGAATGAAGACGCGTGGTTGGGTGGGCTCTACCCTGACGTTGTTGCAAATATTTCTTTCCTCCCACCGTGCGTGTTTTTTCGGGCAGGACCCTGGAACTCCGCCTCCGAAGCGCCATATCTTCCAGTGGTTGCAGAAGGACCTGAAGGCAAAAATCGACGAGCTTTCTACCAAGGTCGGCAGGAGGAAGCACTTCCAGTATGGACCGGACGAGAGGGACATCCTTACGGGATACAACTCGGAGAAAGTGGTGGTACTCGCCAACAGCCTGGACAAGTACTGGGACTGGCAGGTCGAGATCGGGAAGCATGGAGCGTTGCGGAGCTGGTGTCAGGGAACAACCCCGGAGAAATCAGTGGCGAAGGGGAAGGGAGGGAAGACCTCAGCAGATCCGGAGAGGAAGCCGCCCTTTCTGGTCCTCCTTGTCTGTCATCTCGGGAACGACTCGACGTTCAACGGGTTCCTTAAGCTTTGTGAGCCTAAGACCCGCCACGACGTCAAAGATCCTAGCAACAGCGACGCGGCGAAGTTCTACATGGCTCTCGCGCGAGACATGTTGGATCTGGACTTCAAGGACGACCACGGCAACGAAATCTCGATTCCAGTGAGCCACTCCCACGACAAGCCCGAAGCACCCGAGGAGCTCCTCGAAATCCTGGACAACATCGATTTCGACCTGGCGAAGCGAGAGCTGAACGGCAGGGTGGACGGGGACATCAAACGCTTGGTGTCAGTCCTCCCGTTGTGGATGAAGTTTATCCAGGGTGAAACGAAGGTATGTTGATGCGCTTGCATTTGCATGGATTTCTGGTCACGATTTTGTTTGATGACTGTTGTCGAAGATTGCTTCCCGTCCTGTCGCCTCTTGGTTCGCCATGATCATGTTTATTTTGTTTGCGGTTCGCGTTGTAGTCCGTAGGTGGGTAAAAGCAGTCTGTGGAAACCAGACTCGGCGTTTGACCTCGTTCCTCACGAGTACGATTTCCACAGACTGCTTTTACCCACCTACGGACTACAACGCGAACCGCAAACAAAATAAACATGATCATGGCGAACCAAGAGGCGACAGGACGGGAAGCAATCTTCGACAACAGTCATCAAACAAAATCGTGACCAGAAATCCATGCAAATGCAAGCGCATCAACATACCTTCGTTTCACCCTGGATAAACTTCATCCACAACGGGAGGACTGACACCAAGCGTTTGATGTCCCCGTCCACCCTGCCGTTCAGCTCTCGCTTCGCCAGGTCGAAATCGATGTTGTCCAGGATTTCGAGGAGCTCCTCGGGTGCTTCGGGCTTGTCGTGGGAGTGGCTCACTGGAATCGAGATTTCGATGCCGTGGTCGTCCTTGAAGTCCAGATCCAACATGTCTCGCGCGAGAGCCTTGTAGAACTTCGCCGCGTCGCTGTTGCTAGGATCTTCGACGTCGTGGCGGGTCTTAGGCCCACAAAGCTTAAGGAACCCGTTGAACGTCGAGTCGTTCCCGAGATGACAGACAAGGAGGACCAGAAAGGGCGGCTTCCTCTCCGGATCTGCTGAGGTCTTCCCTCCCTTCCCCTTCGCCACTGATTTCTCCGGGGTTGTTCCCTGACACCAGCTCCGCAACGCTCCATGCTTCCCGATCTCGACCTGCCAGTCCCAGTACTTGTCCAGGCTGTTGGCGAGTACCACCACTTTCTCCGAGTTGTATCCCGTAAGGATGTCCCTCTCGTCCGGTCCATACTGGAAGTGCTTCCTCCTGCCGACCTTGGTAGAAAGCTCGTCGATTTTTGCCTTCAGGTCCTTCTGCAACCACTGGAAGATATGGCGCTTCGGAGGCGGAGTTCCAGGGTCCTGCCCGAAAAAACACGCACGGTGGGAGGAAAGAAATATTTGCAACAACGTCAGGGTAGAGCCCACCCAACCACGCGTCTTCATTCTCCCAGTTCTATGTTTGCCTGCATACGTTGTACGTTGGTCAGCGGGGTCACAGTGCCTTTATGCTCGGAAATGACGGGGTGTCTTACATGGCTCCAATAATAAGGAGACCACCATGACAGCTCCAAACGGGCAAAGTGGCCATTGAGCTCGCATCGTTCACACATCGCACCATGCGTTTTCCTTTGCACCTGACGGTGTCCAGTGTTTTCATGTCCTATGGCCCGACCAAGTCCACAACAGACACGTGGCTTTGTCTCACTTCGTTTCGTCCATGCCATTCATCGAATTTCAGGGGGGAGGGGGGGGGTACTCATAGCCGAGCATGCCGTCGTCGTTAGACCGTTGGCCTCGCATCCCTACAAAGACGGGACGGAAGATGGCCGGTTTTTCACCAACCCCAGAGGAGCCGCATGGAGGGTGCGCTGCATCCTGCCACCTGATCAGGGTGTTCGGCATGTTCTGCTTACTTCCTTGCCTACGGGTGACAGCTGCGGATGGCTTTATTGTTTTCGGGCTAACCCTTTATGAGACAAACACAACAAGGACTGTGGAAACTGCTCGAGGGTGCTTGCCCAATTTTACACAGCGTGGTGCGGTCCTCCCCTTATCGCGGAGTGAAGGTTGTCGACCCCACATAACATGAGCGTCTAGGCCACCCTCGCGGTTACCGCAAAAACTAAAACTAAAAAATGCCGGCTAAAGCGGTATACGCTTTGTCGGGCTCAAGAAGCGATCGGTGTGTTTGAAAACGTCGTTGGCTTCTTGCACGAGTGCACCTTTGAGATCTGTGTTTGGGCGAATATTGGTCACGTGCGGCGGTGCTCGACAGCTAACAACGTCAACTATTACACGACCACCCACGGGCTTCGCGATTCATTCTCGTCTCATCTTCTAACGTCCGGGTCACATTAACCTATCGTATTTTTCAAGGGGGTCGGCATGCATGCCACTCTTCCTCAAGAACGACAACATCCGCCAAGTTGAGTTTCGGTGCCACAATCATTATTGGGAACGACTCTCGACCAAGACGTAGACTCTCGACCAAGACGTAGATCTCTTCTCGATGTGAACGCGTTGGTCGGATGGACATGCCTAACGCCGTACCTTTCCGGGGTCGTCGCTGTCCTCGTCTTCGTCTCCGTTGCCGAGCCCATCCCCAACACTGCCTGCAGAATCGCCGACTGCAGACAAGTCCACACTCTGGCATAACAGGGGGGCAACCAACAGGACAAAAGGAATACGACGGAAGGCAGTTTCAGCCACCATTGATTTCCGGCAACTACACATCACTGAAGAGCTGAAAAGGGTTGGTCTTTGTTATTTAACTCGAGGAAACACGAAACCAAGCAAGATACAGCCGTGTTTCGCCACGCTAAATGTTGACAAATAAACGGTGCTGCAGTCAACAGGTCACACCGCGAGACGCATATGACACTGCCACACAGCAGTGTGTGTTGTTTTCCGGCTGACCAAAGAACAGGAGTGTCAACTATTTTTTGAAGGCACAGGTCATGGCAGGCTTTCTTTCGCTGTGTCATACACTTCGTGTGCTTACTGCTGCCGCTTGGTGGTTGTCCCGTGTGTAAACAGCAGTCAGACTGCCGTGTTTTTTCGCAGGTCGTTTTTCGGGAACTGTCAGGAGCAAACTGACGCTCCGTTGCCCAGCGCACGTTCGCGCTCACGGGGGGGGGGGGCTCGCTGCTGTCATGTCGTGCTTTTGTCTGCCACCCTCGAAGTCTAACACCAGCGGCCGGCAGACGCAAGCTTTGTACCAAATTCTCGCGAACCCCAATTACTTGCATAACTTCCATCTTAGCTCCCCGTAGAGCGTTACATCTGCCTCCGTCTCATTCATCGCTCTTTGGCGTCGCATATGACCCACTCACTCCGACGGGTGTTGCAACATAACAATTGTACGCACCCGAGGGTGGCGTTCTTATTTTCTTGGAGCAGCTTCCAACTTTTGTCACCCAACCACACGAACAGACTGCTAGCCACGGACGCACACCGCCAAAAAACAACGTCTGCACAGAGGGCTTTCCAGCCTGGCGCGCACGGTACTACAGTCTCAAGCCTTCGCACGAAAATCGCACAGCGTGGTGTCTGACCTGGCTATCACTGTCTTCTGCTGAGGTCCGACTGCTGCCGCCGCCGCCGCCGCCGCGGCCAGCTAAATCGGCGCCGCGGCCAGCGCCGCCGCCGCTGCCACCCCCGCCGCCGCGGCCAGCCACGCCGCCGCTGCCACCCCCACCGCCGCCGCCAGCTTAACCGCCGCCGCGGCCACCGCCGCCGCCGCCGCCGCCTCCGTGGGCCTTCGGGGAACCGGAGACGGTGGTGTTCTTCCTCTGAGAACACGGCGGGGGAACAGCGCATACCACGAGGAACATGGTGGGACGGCATGAAGCGGAGGCATATCAGACCTTCGTACTCGAACCTTTTAGCATGCAATCAAACACTGGGCTTGGTATATACTACAGAGGGAAATGCCATGCTTCCCCCTGCTTGTGCTCCACGGTTGGTTGCAAGCAGCCGCAGCACACTACGCACAACAATTATATCTATCGCTGGTCTTTTATTGTACCATACGAGAAGCGCGACCAGCCTACAGCAGTAGGTGACAAAAAATTGCAAGCGTCGCATCATACTACTGTTGTACTACAGCAGTACCATGTACGAAGTACAACAATGATTTATCTTTCCGCTGGTGCGACCAAACTCCAGAGGTGACATAAAAAAGATGGCACACCGCCGATTTTGAAAGCTCAACTACTACTCCATGCCGAAGACAGAATCCCCAAATCACACTCTCGAACGATACAGTACACGTAGTAGCTTTGAAGCAGCCATCTTGGGCACCCACTCTTTGTGCTGTGGAGCAATCCAGCTAACAAGCAGTCAAGGGGGTGTGATATCTTGTGTCGCCCCCGGTTGCAATGCTGCATAGTGCAGAGTTGCGTCTTGACATGTAAACAAAAGGGTCATGTTGCGTGCGTCGACAGCAGTCCGTGTAGAGTTGTCACCTTGGCTGCAGCAGCGCGAGGGGACACGCCATCATCAATGCTGTCGAGGTTGTCCAGTTCCAAGGTTTCCATCTCTGAGATACTGCACGGGGCGGGCCTTCTCCGGATAAGCTCCTCGAACTGCTGGTTCATGTCTGTGCTCCTGTCGAGCTCTTCAGGTACGGGTGCCTCCCTTGCGCCCAAAGATACTGTGTTTGGGGATGGAGAGCCGCGCGAGGGGGTAGGCGTGCTTGCCAGCGGCAGAGCCGCCGACATCAACCGCGGCGGCAGCGGTGGAGGGGCAGCCAAGTGGCTGCTCTGTGGGAACACGCTCTGTTGGGTGCGTATGGGATGCACACCCAGCGATGCGAAATCCTGTCGCGGTCCTCCAACCGCAGAGAACGGAGCCCAGTTGGATCCAGGCGAGTGGTAAGACTGCTGCGACTGGTGTTGCTGTGGTGGGACGGAGGACCAACCTGCAGCGATTGGTGCATAGCTTGGCGACGGTTGCTGGTGCTGCCTCTGCCCCTGCTGCTGGTGCTGGTGTTGCCGCTGCCCCTGCTGCTGCGGATGCTGCTGATGCTCCTGATGCTCCTGGTCACGCCCCCCGCCTTGCGAATAGGACATTCTTCCTCTACTGCTCTTGCGCAACAAGGTGCCCCACCGTGGGTGTGCCTGTTCGCACTCCGTGCTAGATTGGTGTCGCGGCTTGGTGTGGCGCCTTGCCACGGCACTACTTTCTGTGCGTCAGTGCGTCACTTGCCGTCGACTGGACCGCTAATGTTCGAAGTTGGTTTCGTTTCACCCAAATCGGGATCCGATTAAATCATTTACCTTTTTTTTTATTCCCGATTTGGAGAGGGGGGATCTGATTATAAGTACTAAAGATTCCACGGGTTCCAGAACTTTTAGCCAATCAACAAGAGTTATTTGGATCTTGTGGTCTTATAATCAAATCGGGAAGTGAAATCGGGAACCGATTTCTTGGTTAAGACCGGCCCTTACATGCCCAGCGAGCAGTAGAAGCAGCAGCAGTCGCGGAAAGAAAAAGTTGTAAACTAAATCCTGCCCGCGTGCTTGAAATCTATCCGAAAGTGCGCTGATGCGACCTTTGCTTGACTGCAAGCATTTGTAGTTGCTGGAGAGGACAACCCCCAATCCGCAGACCTAGTTGTGCTCTGTTTCTCTGTGCGCGCCTACCCCGGGAATCTACGAGTGGAGAGAAGAGTGCAGCGCCAGTATCTAAAGGCTCCGCGATGGTGTCTTTTTCCTTTAACTGTCACAGGTCATACTGCTACGTAGATAAAAATTCTGGAGGGTGCCCCCGCCGACTGCTGTAAGATCTTATTTGTCCCCTCTGACGCTTAGCCCAAGGCGACACAAAACCTCTACATCATTCGGAGAAATCCGTCCATCAAAATTGCACCGCGTATCAGTTTAGGCCTTGTACTAAAGAGCGAGATCGAGGTTTGTTGTTGAACCAGCGCATCAAGGTGTGCTTCCTTTCCGACAGCTACAGCACGCTTCAAGCAACCACACGCTCGAAACTGCCAGAGCCTACCGATATGGTGTGTGAATGGCGTCGCATGACTTGACACCAGCAGGAGACAGCCAGAAGCGATTTCGCGTGAACTGTATGTAATTGCATGCAGCAGCTCTAAATGGCCGAAACGCCGGATCTTTGGGGTCCTTCGACGCGCCGCCGCCGTTCTCCACGTGTGTATGCCCGATCAACAAACGGATTGAATGTAGGTGGTGCACCGGGTGTTCATACTGCAAAACTTGTAACGGCTTCGGAAAGGGCACATTTCAATCTTTCGATTTACGGCGCAAAACGTTCTCAATAATATGCTATTTTGGTTATTTCTTCGTCACCCGCGTGTAAAGCTGCTTTTGTGCAAATCCCTGACCCTAAATTGAATCTGTTTTGTTTTGTTCTGCAAAACGCTATCCCCTCTCTACAATACAACGCTTTTTTGTGGGGAGCCTTGCGCAGCCTTTTGCCTCGCCAGGGCAGCGCGGGCAACAATCACGTTTCATCTTCGAGCGTTAATTTTGGCATCTCGTCTCCCGTGGGCAACGCTTTCTGTCGCTGGCGAGAACTTAAACCCATTGCAATTGCGATGATACCTGCCCCTCGCAGGCATGGGAAGAGCTTGGCCAGTGCTACCTCGAAACGGGGAGCCTGGAGAACTCGCTGGAGGCCTACCGACGAGCGGTGGCACTCACCAAAGGCAGCGATGAAGACAGCGCCTCAGGCAAATGAACGGCGTTATTATGTACCACGAGGCGCGGACGGCGGTGTGGCCAGGCGTTTCTGTACAATCCCGTGCTTGGCGAGCGAGCGGCTGACGTAGTGGTAGCAGCGACAAGCACGCATGCATGCATAGCGACGATTTGTTGTGCCACTACTTTCCCCTTGGAAGACGATCCTACGCACCTGCTGCCTGCGCCAGTGTACTTCTGCTGTCACTGCTGCTGGTGCTCTGTTTGGAGTCGGATGCAGCAGCATCCGTCACCGGCAAATTTTACCGCCGCGGTTTTTTATGTATAATGAAAAGAGGCAAAAAGTTTTGGCGCATTCGAGGTCTGCAGAAAATGGAGAACCGACGGAAAGGCAGCCAACCGTAGCTTCCCGAGCAAGGTTCCGTTTTGTACAGCGTGAAAAATCGGCCGGCTCATCCGGTTGTGTCTCTCCCGCGTTCTCTCTCCCTTTAGTTCCAGGGCGCGTAGCGCGTATTTTCATCAGAAACCGCGTTGGCGAACCTAGGGCGGGAGCAACGAGTGAGTGGTTGTGGCCCTTTTCGTTATCCTCGTTCGTGAATTGATCTGGGGGCGTGGATAGTGAGTCACAGCATCCTCTTCCCTTACCCTATAGGGCGGGGTTCCTTTTTCACTATCCCCTCCCTCCCCCCCCCCCCCCCCCCCCCCCCCCCCCCCCCCCCCCNCCCCTCCCCCCCCCCCCCCCCGCCCCCCTCCGCTTCTGTGGCGCGCTGTGGGTTTGGGTTAAGGTTTGCATTTATTTTTTGTGTCAATGTGTCTGTGTGAATGATCGTAGTGGTGGGGTGTGATGTTTTGTCAAGCGAGGAGGAGGACGAGCGTGCACGGGTGATTTGAACTTTCACCCCGACTTTGCGGTAGCGCATCTGCTACGGCTATTCGGTGGTGAGCAGTAGACTGTTGTGGTTATTTTTCAGCTGGTTATTGTGGCGCTCTCAAGGTTCCGGACGTGCCGCCTTCAGTGTGGTGGTGCGACGGGACTGCGGGCACGAGTATTTTGTTTGTATGAGTGCGACGATTGTGTTGCATATTCGTCGATTTTATTCTTCGACAACCAGTGTTTGTCGTGTGGGACGTGGTACACACTACCCGGTCAAGGAAGCATCTCTCCGCACCCACAAGTTTGAGTAGAGCGTCCTTTTTGGGCCAAACCGATTGTTTCCCTTCTACTCATCACCGCTTCTGCTGTGTTCGTTGAGCGGGGGATGGGGCAAGCTAGGTCACGTGCTACACGGCGATCGCTCTCTTGCCTTGGATGTGACGAAGCAGCATTACCAGCCCAGACTACCGCGGCCTTGTGGGTCCGTCTTTGCTGTCGGTGCCGTTAGAAAAGAAGTGTTTGTTGTTCTGTGCGCGCGTTGTGCGTTCGTTGTCATGCCCTTGGGATGCGACTGGTACCACCGCAGTTAGTGCGTACACCGAGTTACCATACCGTACCATCAGTGAGGTCCATGTTGTTATGATCTTGATATGACGGTGTGCATCTATGGCCTTGCGATGTAGTTTGCATAGGTTGTGTGGCATCGCATGCCTTAGATATGTTGCTTGATTAATGTGATGTTTTGTGTCTCATGGTGGAACATGTCTACGCCCACGGCCCACAGAATTTATCTCGTTTATAGTCGACAAAATGATCTTGAGCAATTTTGAAGGGAGGATTTATCGCGAGAGCTGAGAGGGGGGGGGGGGGGGGNNNNGGGGGGGGGGGGGGGGGGGGGGGGGGGGGGGGGGGGGGGGGGGGGGGGGGGGGGGGGGGGGGGGGGGGGGGGGGGGAGGAACTGCAACAGTTCTTCTTCGGGCGGGGGTTTGCAAGTGTGACCCTACGTCGTGTGTTGTGTGACTTCTTCGTTCCCTTTGGTTCACAAAAGAGGAGAGCCAATACTGTATCCTTATCCATCGGTTAGTAAGCGGGAGTTCGCAACACAAAACTGACTTTCTCAATTTGGGGTTTGGGTTATTTCGTTATTTCGTTATTTCAAGGGAGGGTGCAAATCGTGTGCGTTCCCTGTTGTGTCACCAGTTGTATTGCCATGCGTCTAGCGAACGAAGGAGTCGGAGGTAAAAAAAATATTTCTGCTTGTCGAAAGGCACGGCGTAGCTGCTCTTTGCCAACGGATGCGCAAGCAAAGAGGCAACGTGGCAGCGATTTAGATGAGGAACTTCGCCAACAATGTGGACCGTGAATGCGTGATGTTACGTGTCGACGCTTGCTCCACGCACGAAGTGCCGTAGCAAAGTTGATGCTATGCATCGGGTGCGCAGAGGGCGACGGGCGGAAGAATCTTTGCGCCATGTACTGAGTCCCCCCTCCCCTCCCGCCGAAGCGAGGAAGGCACGCTTTGAGCAAAACAAGTTTCCCGACAAATGTTTGTGACCGAAAGCTGCTGTGCGAAGTGCAGGTGCGCATCACCTACCCACCCTACCTAGTCAACAACGTACCATATGGAAATTTCTAGAACCTGCTGCTGGACCCGTCGGGAAATCGGAGAAAAAATAAGGTTTTGTTTAGATCATGGCGTGCACCAAAGGCAAACAGAGTAACAGTCCAAGGTAGGCACACGTCGCTCGGCACCATCATTCCAAATTCCGAAGGGACAAACCACGGCAAGCTACCTGCACCTACCTGTAGTCTGCGGTTACAGTTTTGTTTTCGAATGGTGCAGTAGGCGGCGGTCAAACGCACCGATCCCACTTGTTCGCAAGAGAGGCACGTGCGTCGAAGACGGCGCCCGAGGTGAACATTCACGAGCAAGCGCGCGAAATTCAGAGCACTCGTGATAAGTGCTCAACACACTCTGCGAGCGTCGGGACGTACTTACGACCGGAAAAAGTTGGCGGGCATGCCCAAACGACGCACTTGTACCAAAGGAGATTGGAGGTGCACCCTCAGTCCACCCTCCGCAATGCGACACACATGTGGTGGAGGAAACAGATGCAAACACGGCGGGGGAGTGCAACTCGGGTCTTCAAAAGAACGCCATAGATAGACTATCCTTCGTTCCACATTTGTTTGTACGCGTTTCTGCAGGGTTCGGTGTAGGGAAATGATCTGGAAATTACCGATACATCTAGCTAGTTGAACAGGGCGAATGCAGTAATAGTAGGCGTTCCCGAAAAAGAGAGTCGGCCACAGCCAGTCACCTACTACATACCACCGGTCGCCCCGGTGGTCTAGTGGGTACCCTCGCAGCCTGCCAAGAGTCAGGTCATGGGTTCGAGTCCCGGCAGCGTGAGTTTTATCTCTATAAATAGATCCTGGTCTAGGATGAAAGCGACGCTGCAAAGCTCGTTGTTAGTAAACCATAATCGACTTCGTAAGGGCCGTTTTAATAGTTTGTTTTTGAAGAGAAGTGGCCCGCCAGGGGCGCTATTTGTTTACAAAAAAATCTGTTTAGAGGGGGGGGGGAAACGGGCTCAAGTAAGTCCGTCTGTCCGTCTGTTTGTCTGTGCCCAGCCTTGATATATTACCCAGCAGATTCCAGTCCATTTCACCATCTCGGCACCAAATTGCAATCTAAGACTTGTTCACAACAAGAGATATTTTGCCCGAGCTGCCCCAACTGCTGCATTTTCAATCCGTGCTCGGTGCGTCGAGGTAGTGCAGCGTTGGTACTCAACTTAAAGCAGGGAAGTTTCTGGCCCCTTGCAACAACGAAAGGAGGCGTCATTTGATTTTGAACCAAGACAGATAGCCTCGCACACCACACAGCACACACACAGAGCCAGACATGGACAAACAGGGAGAGGGAGACACAGACCACAGCGAGGGCGAGACGGCGGGAGAAGGGTGTGCCATGCACTGCTGCTGTTAGCTATCGGCGGAGGAAGCGAGAGGAGAGATCAACATTTGGTTGCAGCAGCAGCAGCAGAAGCAGCGGCCTCTCTCTCTTTCCGCGGAGAGGGGCACATGACACCAACAACATACAGAGACGCTGCTACGCACCACCATTGGTGCGACATGTACTGCTGTACGCCTCTCTACACTTTTGTGCGCGAAGTCCTAGTAGTGTGCGACCAGTGCCTCCCGTGCTAGCAGCCTGGTTTTTCCGTTTAAAACGGCCCTTACCCACCACACGCTTGAACGCTGTTTTTGAGATTTCTCGATCAATCAAAAGCTTTAAGCTCGAACCAACAAGCGAAGCACAACAGCAGACATTTTGTTTTAGCTGCTAGTAGCCCTATTTTGTACTATACCACATCTCTCCCTCCCCACCGCCCCGCAATCTAGACTTCAGTGGGTTGGCGCTAATGGCAAAGCGCTGTAAAACACGCCACCCCAAATATAGCTCCCATATTATGCGCTACCAAAGACGAGTGACGCATGGATGCGTGGAGTGAGGATACGGAAACCTCACAGGTTGAGTGATGTAGACTAGGAGATTGCCGAACACATAGAAGACGTGTTGAGTGATAATAGCTGTATACTGAAGCCCCACGGGTTGAGTGAGGTTTGAGATTGCCAGACACATGGACAGGTTGAGTGGGGATGGCTGCATACTGAAACCCCACGGATTGCGTGATGTTGGAGTGCCGGACACATCGACGCGTTGAATGAGGGTAGACACATATTGAACCTCACAGGTGATTTGTATTGGAGATTGCGAGACAACTAGACGTGTTGAGTGAGGATGGCTGCATACTGAAACCTCACAGATGCATTGGTTTTTGAGTTTGCCAGACACATAGATAGACGCGTTGAGTGGGGATAGCTGCATACTGAAACCTCACAGATGGATTGGTTTTTGAGTTTGCCAGACACATAGACGCTTTGAGTGTCAGGAAAATCGTGCGTCGAGACCACCAGTAGTCGGACACGGTTTGACCTTTGAATACGATTGCAGCAACTAGTCTGCGTAGTAGCAGTAGAAAAGAATCCATCTCTCCGCGGCATGTATTCTCTTGTTCTAGAAATATTCCAGAAGCATGCTAGGTCAAGCTTGACCGGGACATCTACGTAGAACGTGTGTAGCTTCTGGAAGCCTTCTGGAAACTTCTGGTTCCTTCTGTAAGCTTCTGGAAGCGTTCTAGATCTAGGTTGCAGTTGATACTCTTCTAGAACGTAGGAGGGCTTCCAGAAATCATTCTGGAAGCATTCTGGATCTTTCGTGTGATTGGCTTATTTGTCCGGTATTCGAGAAGAGTGGTGCAGTCCTGAGCTCGCCACCCCTCTCACTCCTCTTCAGTACCAGCAACATCAAATCTGACTCGGGAGTCAGCAACTGATAAAAGCATCTTTATATTTCCATTCCAAGTCTCTCGCGGTTGGAGACGCACAGAGTGTGAACCTCTGAGGTAGGCTACACAGCCTCCTGGCATCTGCAGCATCGTACTGCTGCTAGTGCACAGCGAAATATCCCTGACAGGTTATGAGCCTCGGCTAACGCACACACTACGAGCTGCGAACATCACGGGAAGATCAAGGCAACCTCTTCTCGGGACATCAACCTTCATCCATGGACAACGAGAGAACCTGGTTTCGGAGATTTCTGGAGATTACGACGCCGTCATCGGTCAACGGCAACACAAGCAAACGCGCAAACTTGGTCATCTACACTAAGGTGCTGAGGGTTCACGCCGTATACACACGTTACCACCCCTGCGGCAGTAGTGGGTATCTCTGTGGTGAACTAGCAGCAAGGGTCACGTGCGCGGGAGTCTCGAGCGGCACACGCATCGGGTGTACAAGGAACTACACTGTATCATCAGTGGAGGCGATCAACAACCGGAGTCCTCTATATCAGTAGCAGGAGCGGGATCGAAAACAAGAAAACCACAACCGGAGTCCTCTTTATCAGTAGCAGGAACGGGGTGGGGAAGTCTCGGGTACAGGCAGTAGTACCACGAGCAAAATTACTCCTACAGCAGAAAGTATTTTATCAAGACGAAGAAAATAAAGCTGAAACGAGCAATGGATACCGCAACGAGCAACACAGGAGGTGGAAGCGCGTTCGCCAGCGATAGTTCTACGAACCTGGCAACCGTGATCAAAGGCCTCAAGAAATTCGACGGAAAGGACCCAGCTGAGTTCAAGACATGGATGAAGAAATTCTGCGTGGTGTTAGGTGTGACCAGGAAGGACATCCTGCCACTGCTGAAGAAACAAAGGAAGCCAGATCCCGCAGACACAGCGGCCTTCGACTCCTACACAAGGGCAAACGACGATCTCTACGCCATTCTTTACCTCCTAGTGGAACATCCAGCCGCCTTGTCGATACAGAAGCACGAAGACGACACTGGCATCAGCGGCGACGGACAAGCTGCCTTCGAGGAGCTCTGCAACAACTATGACAGGGTATCGGACNGACGAATACAAGGACGTCAAACTGATGGTGTTCAGAGACCCAACCTTCAACGTCCTGGACATGCAATCCACCATGCGCAACATCTTCTTGGACGAACAATCGCGCAAGGGATGGAAGGGACGCATAGCTGGTCGAGGATTTGCCATGGCAACGACCGCGTCTGAAATCATCTACCACAGCTGCTACGAGCCGGGGCACATCAGGAGGAAATGCCCCAAGATCAAGAACAGGGCGACAAAGAAAACGAAGCCCGCCGGAGCTACCAAGTGGTGCTCCAAGCACAACACCACGTCTCACTCGGACGAGGAATGCTACCAGCAAGGAGGAAAGCGCCCGGAAGACGCCAAGGACTCAAGTAAAGCATTCACCGCGTGCTCCAACTGCACTCATTGCTCGTCGGCGTCCAACAAGCACGATCAAACACTGGAGTCGCAGTTGTCGACTTCACCAGGGACGAGGACGCCTTTGACAGCGGCTTCATGTTCGGCACGTGTTCCCGCATCTCAGGACGCAACTTCGCCGCGAGCTCCACCGGGGTAGGCCTGCTGGTAGACACGGGAGCATCGGAGACCATGTTTGACAATCGCCTCATCCCCGACGGAAACCTCCACGATTACACCCAGCGAAACTCTCCAAAGATCGTGGACGTGGCCGGAGAAAGCCAACTCAAAGGCACGGCCACGGGCATCCTACACTGCACCGTCAAGGACAATCGAGGACAGCAATTGCGCGTGCGGATTCAGGGACTCATCGTTCCGGGACTTGGTCGCAACATTTTTTCGCCCACCTCCCTCCTGAAAAAGGGATTGCGCTGCGTCGTCGAAGAGAGCACTCCGCACCTCCCTATCCAAGGCAAGGTGATTCCACTCACACAAGATCCGCGAGACCAAGGCATGTGCACCCTCGACGTCACGTTCGAGCGGAACGTCCAGCCATCTGGCACGAATCCCTCGTGCCCCACCAGAAGCAGTCACAGACCCACACGGCGAACGCCGTCTGCTTTACGCTAGTGAGCGCGGACACCTGGCACAGGAGGCTTGGACATCTCAATGCTCGGAGCCTGGACATCCTTCGGAAGGACACGGGTACCGGGGTGGACTATCGCGACAGTCTCTCCCCTTGCGGGGTCTGCCAGATCGCGAAACATAAGCAGTCCCCCCACCCGAAGCAATCGACTCGCGAACTATCACGATCTGGACAGCTTGTGGTCATCGACAACATGGGGCCTGCTAATCCACCTGCGAAATATCAAGGAGGCTCCTTCCCGTACGCGTGCAAGATCACCGACGACTACACGAAGATGAAAGAAGTGTACCTGCTTCGCAAGAAATCTGACACGACCGAGGCGGTGCACACGTACAACATGTGCGTCGCAGCGGCAGGAGGCTACCGGATCGAGGCCATCCGCTGCGACAAGGGAGGCGAGAACACCGGATCCGAATTTCGGGACTACTGCAAGAATTCAGCTATCAAGCTCGAATACGCCGCCACCAACACCCCTCAACAAATTGGTGTATCGGAACGGGACGGACAAACCCTGGCCGGAGTCACCCGGTGTCTTCTGAAGGATGGAGATTTTCCGCCGTCCATGTGGGGGGAGTTAATGCTGACTGCAGCATACCTGTTGAACAGGTCCCCACACTCAGCACTGGGAGGAGCTACGCCATACTCGAAGTTGCACAATAAGTCACCTGATCTTTTGGGACTTCGGGTCATTGGAGCGCGCGCCTTCGTACACCACGAGAGATACCGAAAGAAGCTGGACGACAGAGCTTTCGAAGGCAAGCTATGTGGTTTCGGCCTCGACAGCCAGACCTACCGGGTATTGAATCCATCCAACGGGGCCGTGGTCGAGAGCCGGAATGTGACTTTCATCGAATCTCCAGCCCGCTCAGTGCCCTTCCAGTATTCCACTGAAGCAAACGGGTACGAGAGCGACGTGCTGAGCTTCACCTCCCTGCTGGACAGCCCCCACTCTGCGAGCGACCTGGACTTCACGGCGCAGAACGAACTCCTTCGGCAAGAAGTCCGGAAGATGCAGCAAGACAATCTCGCTCGGGAGAAGCTTCGCCTAGAACTGGACGGGCACGAGGACGAACATGGAAACGGGCACGACCTCGGCGACGGGAACGCTCCATCACCACATCTCCCATCGACGCCAGCTGGACCGTCATCCGAGACCCACGCATCTAGCCCCAGTCCATCATCGTCGAACCCGCCTGAACCGGACACTTCTGCATCAACTGGATCCTCCGGCATGCGGCGCCTGCAAGTCACCAGAGCCAGCACGCGCGGGAAGCCCACCAGCGACGATCATATCGACGTCAACTTGGTTCCTGCCAATCTGGAAGTCACCATGAACGACCGCGGTCGAGCCCATGCTACAACGGGCCGCGTGGAGCCATCCGGTCTTTCCTTCACTCAGCTGGCTGAGATAGCCGATCAAGCCCAGCTCCCATGCCCTGGCGATACTGAGGATTTCGCCCACGTTGCGGAAGACCCCTTCACGGTGCCGCGTGCTCACGCCTACGTCACGACCACTCACGAACACCACGGGATCTTGGAGGAGACGAATCAAGCGATCAAAATCCCCGACACCTACGACGAAGCCATGAGCTCTCCCCAGCGCGAAGAATGGAAAGGAGCATGCAGCAAGGAAATGGACAATCTGCGGAAACACAACGTCTACAATCTGGTGCCCCTCAGCAGCGTTCCCAAGGGAGAGAAGATCCTCGGAACGAAATTCGTCTTCAAGAAGACGCTGGACGGACGCTTCAAAGCTCGCCTGGTAGTCGGAGGACGTCGTCAAGAGCCAGGACAGGACTACGGACGCAGCTACGCACCAGTATGCCGTATCGGGAGCATTCGCATGACATGCGCCAATGGCTGCCACAACAACTGGCCCATCTACCAACTGGACGTTGTCGGTGCCTTCCTGAACGCCCTTTGCGACAGAGATTTGTACGTCAGACCCGCCCCCGGTACATCCGCCAAGAACTCCGCGACGGGAGAACCCATGGTGTACAAACTAGAACGGAGCCTCTACGGCCTATCGCAGTCGCCGGCGCTCTGGAACGACACCCTGGACGAATCCCTCACGGTGTTCGGATTGAAAAGGACTCAATCCGACCCCTGCGTGTACGCGTATACCAGCCGTCAACGATCAAGACACATATCCCCGCGTGTAAGCCGATGAACCGCTTGGGGCAGCGCTGATTACAGGGATTTCAACCCTGGGGAAAAACCAGAGTCAGACAGCCTAACAGCTGTTCGGACCCTAGTTGTACTTTTGTTAGATATACAACATATCCACTGAGCTAAACAGTCAGCGCTGACTGTTTAGCGCAGTGGATATGTCGTATATCTAACATTGAGTGGAGATAGCTACATACTGAAACCTCACGAGTTGAGTGATGTTTGATAGTGCCGGACACATCGACGCTTTGCGTGAGNTTGGCAGTGGATATGTCGTATATCTAACATTGAGTGGAGATAGCTACATACTGAAACCTCACGAGTTGAGTGATGTTTGATAGTGCCGGACACATCGACGCTTTGCGTGAGGAAAGACACATACTGAAACCTCACGGGTTGATTTGTATTGGAGATTGCCGGACACATAGACGTGTTGAGTGAAGATAGCTACATACTGAAACCTCACAGATGGATTGGTTTTTGAG